GGCGACCAGTATGGGCTTCGAAAGTCCAAGTAGTTAATGCGGTGGTAAAAGAGAAGCACCTCGGAAAGAAGCCCAATCACGACGCAAGGCAGCCACACTGGCAGGCCAAAGCGGTTGATACGGGCATTTAGTACGGTCATAATGCGCGGGCGAGACGAAACCCAAGATCGATGATGTCATTGCATTTGTAAAAAGAAAATGAAAAAACGACTCCTAATCATCCACCGACGTTGTATCGCAGTCCGACTCCTCAAGTTCCCCCTCTGGCACGCTGACTGACTTGTTCTGAGACCACGATAGGTTTCCAAGCAGCGCTGGCGAACCAGAGTCCACATAGGCGGCCCGTGTCTGCTCGCCATCGAGGAAATACAGACGAGAGTCTTTCTTTCCGTACAACTCTGCAAGCAAACTGTGGGCCATGAGCGCGCGGCAACAGACATTTAAGAGGCTGACCTGAGCAGCAAGCGATTGACGATGAGAAGGTCGGTGCGCTGCATATTCAGTATATAGAGGTCTGCGTTGGAGACGACACGATTCAGGGGAAGACGATGTTTCAGCACCGCAACAGTTCCGCGACACGGGGGCAGATTCTGCCCTGTAGCTCGCTGGATCGCTTCGATTCCTTTGTTCACTGGCCGGTTTGGAGTATCGCCGGTTTGGAGTATCGCCGGTGTGCGGGCAGTCGAAAAGAAACGTGAAAAGAATTTCGCCATGAGCTCGCGAGATTTTGGGACAGAGCGGGCAAGGCACAGGAGTGACTTCGAATAGATCGATGTGGAGCCCAGAACCACGCAGCGTCGGGCACAGAGGATCGACCCCAAGGTCGCCGATAGCGGGGATCCCCCACATCCACGGATAAACCCCAATCTTGACGATCAAGGGCGGAGGGAAAACTTGAAGGGCCATGGTGGCTGCCGACTGTTATTGCTCATCAGTATAGGCTGGTGCTGCAGATCATACGACGTACCCTCCGATAGTATGGCTCCACAGATACCTCCGAGGACGAAGACGAAGACGAGTCGTAGCTGGAGTCGGAACTTGAAGTCGATGTGCAAGCACTGAGCAGCGCCGCCACAGAGAGAGCGTCGAGCTCAGAAGGAGTGTGTGGTGCGTGTGCGGGCATGCTTGAAGGAGGGAAGGAGGGAAAGAAAGTGGATGAAGCGAGTTGCTTCACTTCGCCATCGAGTAATGAGTTGAGTAAGGACGTGACGAGAAGATGATGCAATGTGACATGCCCACTAGCCTCTTTCTTTCCGACCAGCGGGGAACTCAGATGCGAGCAAGCCAGCCCACGTTGCACCCTTCCGCTGGGTGTAAGACTCGAAATGGTCTTTAATACGCTTTGGCTTCTGCTTCTGCTCTCGTCTTTCCCGCTCTTTAGGCTATGGCTGGTAGGCCCGCTTTCTCCCGTGTACTGTCTACTCACCACCGCCCTCCCTCCAGACCGTCTTGAAACTCCTCGCAAGGGGGGATCTGCTTCAGCTACAGCGCCGTCTAGACCACAAAAGCCTACATCGGTCATACATCGTGTGTGCCTACTTCAGCGTCTTGAAACCAACTAACTGGTCGATTTCAGCTGGAGAAGTGACGACGCCCTCCAAACTCAAGGCAAAGCCCGGTCCAACACGCGCAAGCAAGGCAAAACCTTATGATCGCCCCAAGCCGCGACCATTGACCGCCCAGGGTACAAAGTTCTCCTCCCCATTTCTTCCTTTGACGCCTTCCAGAGCGAAAAAAATCGTCTGTTGCAGCTTGCATCCGCATCCACCACAAACTCGAACTCCTCTCAGTTCGACAAAGTCTTCCCCCTTGAGGATCTTGCTGCGACCGCCAACGACCTCTCGAAAATCATTGATTCCGCTCGGGTGGCGGCCGACAGCTTCAGCATCCTCGAGCAAGAACAAATCCGTCGCGTCCACTATCATCAAGTTCTAATGCGCGCATATGAAGCCGTACAAGCCCACCTGGAAGGCATGGATATGGCCAAGGAGGCGAAGGCAATTCAGCCTCAAATTGACGAGCATGTAGCCCACCGCCAGGCCGCTGTTCGTGAAAGCGCAAGAGCAAATAAAGGATGGTGGGCCCTGTTGCATGTTGAGCGAGTTTTCATACGGAAGCTTCGGTCGGGTTCAGCTGCAGATGAACCAGTAGTATAGCTAACTCGTTTCGATACAAAATTTGATTTTTTTAACCATCTGAAAAAATTTTGATGCCACCTAACGATGAGATAAGAGATAAGACACGTATGACGTCGCTGAGCCGCATCTATATCACTGAAAGTCTGGGATCAGAAAAAACCAAGGCATGGATGGGACAGAGTACACTATTGCTACATCTAAAATGATAATTAATTTGTGTGGATCAGCCCGGCCTCGACGCATGCTCATTTTTCTTGCTCGTATGCAAATAGAGTGTTGACTGACTCGACATTGAAGATGTCACTTGTCACGCAGAACCTGGGATTCAGAGATTGATACTTTATACAAGCCACATGCTAATCTCCAACAAATTAAAAGCATGGACCAGTACAGATTTTGTGCCCCAGTAAAGCTATGTAATTTTTTCCCTGAGGCGGCAAGGTTATGTCGAGTGGTTGGTCCACAGGTTTCGCAAGATGGAGACGTTGCTAGCCTAGATCTGCTCTTGCTTCGTGAATATGGCCAATCTATATTGAAGATTAACGTGTAGGGGAGAGGGAAAAAATTAGCATATGAGAATGGGGCCATCTTGAGGAGCTCAGTAGTGCAATGCTTTGACAGATTATGTCTCCCTGTGAACCACACTGTGCAAAACATGTAAACCGAGATTTATGATGGCCTCGGCGTGACGCCGATCACCTGTCAGCCAGCGCCATCTCTCGATAAACCACCACTATGGCTTCATCCATCCATCCATTCGACTCACCATCTGACGCTGCTTATGCTGCGTCCTAAGAAATATGCTACCGACGCGGAGAGGAGAGAAGCAAGCCGCCTGTATAGCAGGAAATATGAGCACAGTGCAAAGTGAGTGATCGAGCATTGGCAGTCCTGGCTCGAGCTAAAGGTTTGCTAGAGGGGCGGGTGTGCGGGCAGCCTATCGCAAGAAGAGACGTGGTCGCAAGCAGCAGCCTATAAGCCTGCAACATACGCCTACTCTTCCAACTGACCTCGAATTGGACGCAGTTTTTGATTGGCCAGCTGAGGACGACTGGATCTTCAGTCGAACACTCTCCGGAAAACTACGCACCCGCCTACTATACCCTTATAGTCTCCCACCACCTTGGTCTCTGTCCGACTTCGAGGAAGAGCCACAACGACCATACAAGAATCTCCGACAACTTAAGCGTGCGGTCCATGGACTTAGATTGAAGCAGGAGCGGGAGTTAGAAGAAGAATGGGCACACTGGGCCAAGATGTGGACGAGAAAAGAAGTGGTGGAGGCCTGGTCGCAAGAGTTGGTTGAAGCACGCGACTCTTGGAGTCATTTGAAAACTTACCAGCGAGGACTGCCTCCGGTCGAAGACGACTCCGAATCTCATATGCGTCAAATGCTCAAAATTCATTTGGGGTGGCATGCTCGCCGTTGTGTGCGCCTGCGACAGCTCGCCTTCCTATGATTAGTATCTTGTCTTGTAGCGTGAATCCGCTAAATCTGCCTTCTTAACTCGGTTGTGACACGCTTTTGTCCCTTGGTGTGCTTCTTCAAGATCTTAGACTCATGCCAGCATCATCCACTCACGACGAGCTTGCCATTGGGGAAACCTTTCGCAATGAGTGCGTAACTCTTGCTATAGACCAGCGATAGTCTTTCACGAAACACAGTGACTTCATTAAGGCAAATTCTTCTGGGTCTACGATAAACGCAGGTCCTTCCTCTTCTGCCAGTGGAAATGAAGGCGACGTGGTGAGTGCCACTAATACATATGATTTCCGACTCATCGTCGTGTAGCGAATACACGTCCTTGTCTATTTCAGACGCGGCCGTGTAGCTCTCGTCGTGCCCTTCGTTTCCCCGTCACCGACAGTCAGACAATCACCACGCAATCTGTTGTTGGCTCCGATGGCTTGAAAAATCTCTGGCACTCTGGAGACCCCGAATGGCACGAGTGGCTTGATGTTCGAGCCACCTGCTGTCCACCTGACTCTGCTTACTCGATAATGGAGGCATGTCGGGAGCCTGTCGATTCAATCTCTCGCACTTCCGACGACGACGACGACGGCTATTTAGATGTCCGGCGCAATGCGGCCATCGCGGCGCTTGGCTGGCAAGGTGGATCAATCCTCAACCCAGCTGCTGGCAATGTTATCGTTGTCAAGCATTCTCTTCCAGTAACGGAGGAGATTCAACGAGACATGCGGGGGGCTATTCTGCAGTCTCATGCGGTGGATCTGCCGAGTCAAGATATGCAGGATGTTACACGGCTTGTCCAGCGGTACGTCTTACTACTAGTATGTGCTAGTTTGGCGTCGCTCAGTGCTCTAGTAGCTACTACCATGGACCCCCGCCTCCGGGTCTGGCCGTGCCTGATTTGCCCGCGGGTCTGGAGGTCGTTGTTCCTTGGTGGTCATAGTAGTCCTTATTTGTCATATTATACGCTGCACAATATTGTTTTCTTGTCCCATTCGACCATTGCTCCGATCTTGGAAAGTGTGATCCGATCTTGGAAAGTGTGATCCAGAATATTCCAGCTTGGGGCCGTCGCGGCCTCGCCACCCTGTAGGCTAGTAGCAACTTCGCCGCTGCCAGCGGCAGTAGCATATCCACTTCGCCACTGAGTTAAAATGGCATTGCAACAGCTAACTACACTCATCTAGGCTTCCCGAAGTTGGCCAGTTACCGGTCGAGAATGTTCCTGATGCTCGGCGGTTGGATAGTGCCGGGTGGAGTTGACGACCTGCGTGAATTAGTGCGGCATTATTGTCGTGCGAGGCCATTCGTTTGGGTTGTGTGCATGTGACCGTGAGCTCGGTGACGGCATTTCAAATTCCTTGCTAACTTTTCCTCGTCCTCGTCTTCAAATGTCCCGCAAACGTCGAGCCCCAGCAGTGCCGCGCCTTGTGCGCCACCATATAACGCCTATGGAGCAACTCATTGGAGCTCCACCTGATGCTCCTTTACCCACCGTCGTCCATCGGCTTACCAACGACAATCGTCGACTGTGGTCTCAAACCGTACTAGTGGAGCCCACTTCACCAGTCAAACGTGCACGAATACAACACCTAGAACGGGTACGAGCACCGGCGCTGTCGACAACCAATGACCCTGAGAGATACGAAATGAATTTGGGGGTCTGCGAAGATGATGATTCCGACACTGAGATGTCAAAACCTCGTTTCACCCAGCCTGCAGTATGTACGCTCGTGCAACCAATTGAACTTCATGCTGAATAGGCCTAGGATAAGGCAATGCACCAATGGACACAGCAAAGCCGCGACATATATCTTCAAGCCATGCTGTGGCGCGAGGGACGAGGAAACGAAGGCACTCTCTGCCACCAATGCCAGGATGCCACGCGGGAGGCTTTGTATCGCTGTCGCGCTTGCTATGGCGGCGCTATCTTGTGCCAGCAGTGCTGTGTGGCTACACACCAAGCGAATCCTCTCCACGACATCGAGGTATTTCTTTTTCCTATCTACCTCCATACTCTTATCAGAAATAGAGCTGGACTGGCGTCTATTTTGTCAAAACGAGCCTTCGTGACCTCGGCCTGCGCATCCAATTTGGTCATCGCCTCGGAGAACGGTGCCGCTCACCACGCCTTGGTCGAGCAGACTTCGTTGTTATTGCTGGCAATGGCATCCATGAAGTCTCAGTCGACTTCTGCGGCTGCGAGGCGACTAGTGACCCCAACTACTTGCAGCTTTTAAAAGCTGGCTGGTATCCCTCCACCACCGATGCTCCACGAACTTGCGCCACATTTTCCTGTCTCGACACGTTTCATTACCTTTCTCTGCATGGCAAGACGACAGCCTATGACTATTATTCGGCGTTAGAGTCTCTGACGGACGGCACAGGCATCAAGCCTCCGAATCGATATTCTATCTTCATGAGAATTTCTCGACAATATCGACATTTGTTGTTGCTGAAACGGATGGGCCGAGGCCACGATAAATATGGTGTTTTGGGAACGGGACCTGGGGAGCTTGCCATTCGTTGCCCTGCCTGTCCTCGACCTGGCGTCAATTTGCCCGAAGGATGGGAAAATGCATCTCCTGAAGATCGGTAAGCCCTCTGCTTCGGATTTGAGCTGTTGATTAACCCATTCTCAGGTGCTTATACATCATGTTCATCGCCATGGACGCATGTTTTTCGGCTGAAGCGCAGGTCCATCTCCAACGAGTTGCGGGACCCGGGACTGGGGACGGGTTGGGCGTATATGCTCGAGACAGATCAACAAGAGGTAATCTCTCAATCGGCATGAAGAAGCTCTACTTATGTGACTTCGAAGATGAGTACCTGCAGTGGGCTCGCTGCACTTGACCACGCGAATACAAAGTTCTCGCGTGGGTATAGTGTTACTGGGGTTGGCATGGGTGTATGCGCGCGCCATGAATTCGTGCTGCCAAACGGAGTTGGTGACTTACAAGCTGGCGAACGGTATGTACTAAACGCTTCTGCTGACATACGTTGACAATAGCTAGCTACGTCAATATGGACTACATTTTTGGATCCTTCATTCGCCATATCGACCCTCGACTTTTCAAGATCATCTCCTACGACATCGTATGCCAATGGATCAAGACGCTGATTGAACGTTTGGCAAAACTCCCTGCCTTGGTTAGGTTGCGACTCGTGCTCGCCTGCATCTGCTTTGCCGTCCCCAAAATGCACATCAAAGGGCACTTGATCTCATGCCAAATTCTATTCTCGTTGTTTCTTATGCTCGGCGCGGCCATGACTGATGGAGAAGGCATTGAACGGTCTTGGAGTATGATTGGGGGTATTGCTGCTAGCACTCGAGTTTCGGGGCCTGGAGCTCGATGGGACCAACTTGATGACCACTGGTCTTTCTGGAATTGGAGAAAACTGCTGGGTCTCGGTAATTAGTCGACATTCTGCTGATCAGTCACTTGACTAACCTCATTTTAGCCGCCATTCTACGACGTCGATCTGACAGAGCCAAGGCTGAACTTCGAAAAACAGGAGCAAAACTTCGAGCTTTTGACTGTAGGCCATATTGATCGTGTTCCGGACTGGAAGCGTCAAGTCGAGGAGTTCGAGGCGGATAACGAAAAGCCTAACCCTTACCAGTCCTCTAATGAAGGTGCTTAAAATGTCGTTAACAAGAAGCGTTGCAATACTCAAATTTTCATCTCCAGGACTGACCGAAACCGCCGTTCGCAAGATGTACGAGGAGGAAGAAGCTGCACAGGAGCAGGCGGGGATTATGCCTATCCATGATGTATCTCCAACGGAATTCATCTCCGCATTGCTTGATGCAGAGGCCGACCAGTAAGTTTGCATCATTTTCTTATTGGTATGCGTGTCTCATGATTTTCAGACGCCGCATTCGGGGTTTAGCCGATCTTAAGAGAACAAGAGGCTCTATTGGTGGGCTCAGCCTGCGACAACAACGTAGGAAACTCAACCGAGCGATTAAGCGTCTGCGTACCCTTCAGGCAACTTATACACCTGCCGCCTTGCGCAAATTCGAATCCCTGAATATCTCTCAGGATACTCTTGCTGAGCGTGTGCCCCTACTCCCTCCCTCATCATTGTCCAGCACGGAATGCGAGAATGGAGGATGTCGTGATGGCTTGCTGCAGATTGAGCAAAGCTTTCGGGAGGCTCAGTGTCGCTCCTCGTTGACCGCGCTCCAACTCCAATTGCACGTCAAGGCGCGTTTGCTCACTTACAAGAAGAACAACGCTCGTGCTCAGGCGATGAATACACGGTCGCGCACTTTGGTCGACCAGAACGAAAGGAAAATCCTGCTCCATTCCGAAAAGTATCAAACGGCTTGGAGAGCTCTTGTCGCGATAGCTGGCGGAGAAGACAAGATTATCTGGCGTCAATTGCACAAGAGCGACATTCGTTGTATGGAGGAGCCGGAGGAAGTACAAGAGCAACGTCGAAAGGATCAGAGGGCGGAACTAGAGGAGCGCATCCGGGCGGAGGAGATGCGACGAGCTGGCCTTCCAGATCTCCCAGTCAGTAGCCTTCCGATGGAAGACAGCGACCAGGAAGACGGGGAAGACGAGATTCCAGTGTCGCGAAGCGATCGGCTTGATGCTGCAAGGGAGCGCAATGCCCTTTTCAAGCACGGAGAGAGTAGGCGTAGTGTCTCGTGGATCTGGAGTAATGTTGTGGAAACCGCCAACGGCGTTGAAGAAGGTCAGTCGGTACGCGCTGGAGGTAATAGCCTAAACTCACCCAACATAGCGTTGCGAATCGAATGGGCAAAATCTTACGCGCGCGCACCCGGAGATGGCGGGAGGAGGTGCGGATTCTGGAGGCAGAGTGGCTCAGGCTCCCTCTATCGTTTGGTGCTGAGGAGGCGCTATGGGCTCAGCGCGGTGCGGGAGTCGACATTTCGAACTGCGGGGTCCAGCTGGCCGAAGGAATGATTGCATACGCTGCGAAACACGCAGACATGTATCGCAATCTCTCTCGTCGGGCAGAGGTTGTCCGAACAAAGCCCATACTCGAGCGAGGGCACCGGGGCGAGCGCGAGATCAACGAGGTGTATACCATGGTGCAGGAGGATGACGCGGCTGCTCGCGCTGATGGTGTCATTGACACAGACGACGAGGATGAGCATGGTAATGAGAGTGATGAGGAGGATGATTGATTTTTCACTTAAGTATACTGCTTTTTAGCCACATATCTGAATTAAGCTGTTTTTGCGCAAACTTTTACCAAGGAATCACCAAATAAGCCTATTTGAGTGGCAATGCCGAGTTGCCGATGATGTGTCACCCGTGACAAGGTCGGAGATCAAGGTTCTGTGATGTTCCGAGTGTTTGCCAGGCGCTGCCGGGACCTGGCCAGTTGTTCCCTTGATAGCCCATATTGTGCGCATTGCCCTTCCGGGCTATAGCCCATTTCCTATGCATTGAACTGGGTGCAAGGGGGTGGGGACGAGGGCAAGGCTGCAAGCGGGGTTGCCGGCTTAGCGGGATGAACGATGGTGCGGCTGGATTGAGAACACTTGACCGATTGGGCGCTGCTGGACTGCTCAATGCGCGCGCTGGCTGGAAGAACCCCGCGCACAGTCGCTGGGGACGGCGGGGTCATCTGCGATAGCCGAACGACCGCGGGTGTTGGAGGTGGCGAACACAGTAAAAAGCCGCTCCAAGTCAGATAAGGCAGGAGAGATAGCTGCAATGTACAACGTTAAGTTGCTCTGGCAAAATTGTGGAGGAAAAGAAAATACCTTGGATGGGCAAGGAGGAAACAACCGGCTCGATGGCAACCAGCTGGGGAAGGTCGGGATGGCGAGAACTGGTGGAATGCACAGGCCGCAGCCGGCCGGACACCCCCAAACAATAAAGGAGGGTGTGTTTGGGCTCGAACGCGAGCAGGGCAAGACGCGGACCCTTCAGACGAAGGGATGCAACAATTATGGAGACCCAGACGCATCACAAACGCGAAATGTGGGGCTGGGACACGTCAGAAACACTTGAAACCGTTTCAGAACAGAGCACGTGACCGCGGAGACGCCGTGGGCCGCGGCCATTGATTAGATAAGGCGGGGAGCTCCAGGTATATATTCCCGCTGTAGATTACAGTAGAGTTCAGAATACAATGTGCCCCCCATAGCGGTTCTATTGCTCCCCATAGTGGAAAGTGGAACTGTTGACCTTCGAGAACGTCTACGACAATGAACCTTTGATTTTGTGAACGAGATAAGATTGTTTTGTTGATCTATGCTGCCCGAGAACCCTGAACGCTGTTTGTGAATGCCCAGCTTGCCCAAACAGGCCAACTGTGTCAAATATACCCTGTGGAGCAAGTTAAAGGAAAGTAACATAAAGTAGTAAATAGGTTAGCTTTCTGTCTATCATTCAACCAGTGCTACTTTCTTATAAATGGAAATGGACCAGAGACATCTCTGAGGGGCTGGGAGGTTCCCCTAACATTAGCATCAATTAGATTTTTTAGCATCCAAGGCCTTCCAGTATGATTGTCAGAAATCTTTAGCGTATTATAGCATAGCGTACAGGGCCATGCTAGCCCAATATAGTTAATTTGCTAGTAAATTCAGGTTTAGGCTGTTGTGCATAACTACCAAAGAAAACAGAACCACTATAATAACTACTTAAGTGCCGTGCAAGAACTGAATATAAGTAACAGAAAGTCCGAAGCAAAACCAAGTGGTTATCACAACACTATATTGGAGTGAGCGACTACACATCTTGCAGACCGAAAGCAAGTCTGAACAAATGCATGAACTCCAACAGATACGTTTGGAGAAGCTGAATGTGGTAAAGGCTTAGAATGCAGAGGGAGTCGGATGAGAGCGAGGAGCGAGGCAAGAAACAAGAAACATTAATAATGAAACTGAAGTACAGGAGTGTAGAGTACGAGTATTTATACTAAGTGGTAAGCATAGGAGATCTGATGTGGTCTGCAGGATCTCCCTGTGGGTTAAGTACAAAGGTATAGTAAGTAAGGGGAACGAGAAGACATACACGAGGCAAAGGAAACAAGGTGAACACCTAAAGGATATAGGTAAACGAACCAAAGTCCAAATAGGTAAAGATCCGAGTTAATACATATGGGTGATTGATGAATCTGAATCTAAGGGTCCCTATTGGTCTGATAACTTATACCTCAATATGATCTTACAAGCAGTTTAAGAAGACAATACTGTAGCATTTTATTCAGTTCGTTGGTCACGCGTCACACCGGCCTCAAAATGCCGAAATTTTTTCGGCGGTCACACCCCACAGCCCAGATGTTGAATTCCCTTGGCTGATTTACCATTTTTAGGTGGCACGGCCCTGCGGGCCGCGCTGTAATATGCCGAAAATTTCATTTCGGCGCCGATATCACACCCAATTTGGGTGCCGAATTGAATAAAAGACTACAGTACCCCCCATACAGTATACCACTAATAAGACATCAAGAGGGATGATCTCTGATCTGGACCACCACCATCACCAACACTCAGAAGGCCCCAGCAGCAAGGGAGCTGCATATGCACAAACACTACTGTAGTAAATTATTCAATTCGGGTGTCACGGGTCACAGGCACCCAAATTGGCGAAGCTTTTTCGCCAGGTCACAGGTCACCGAGCCGATTAGCGAGTACCTAAAGTGTCACAATTTTGGTCAAATTTACGCCCTAAAATGCAATTTTTGCCCTCATGATCCAAATTTGCTTCCGTCCCGAAATGCCGCGATCTGACAGCTGTCATTCCCACCACTCACCACGTACCACCACCGCTCGGCGCTCGAGACGTTGCTCTGCATTGTTACAAAGGCACAGTGGTGCGACTACAGCAGTACATCATGTCTACTTACTCACTGGTATCTGACAGATCCTCGTCGTAGTCATTCGCATGGCGCCAGAAAAGCCTTGATGCATATCTGGTACTCGTCTGCTTTGCCCGCCTTCCAAACTGCTGCCCAACCTTGCGAATCCATGGGCTCTCAATAATGTCTCCTCGGTAGCTGTCTCTTTTGGCATAGGCGTTGCAGAGAGACGTGGTAAAGAAGGTGATTTCGAAGGCGTCCCCAGCGTCTTTGTCAAGCGACAAGTCTTTGGCAGCCAGGTCCATAAGCGCGTTTTCGTGGCCGGATTTCAGCCACGCGTTTGTGAGCCAGCGGCTGAGGTCCGTAATCGGGTCCTCGTCTAAAGCTGCTGGCTTTGGCGAATTAATTCGCCATTCAACCAATCGCCAGGGTGGCACAACCTGGCAAAATGAGGGGAGGGAAATTCCAAGGTGGCGATTTGGTTTGGAAAAAATCACGAGACCTGGTCATTTAATCATAATTGTATTGCTGGACCAAGCAACAGTTGCACAAAGCACCGCTGCTTTGAAGTTTTGATGCGCATAGCTTATTTATATAGGCTTATTCTACACATCTATGCACACACACACACACACACCATGGTTGGTCGGGAGCTCAACGCATTCTATGTCGCACACTTTACCTATCTACGGCTTGTCAAGAACAGCTCCAAGCGAAAAGTCTTCTCATGCAACTACTGCTCCGCAGAGCTTGAACATCGCGAAAACCGTCTCGCAAACCATACCATCTCGGCGAAGAAATGTCCCACTGCCCCGGCTCATGCACGGACAGCAGCACATATTGTTATGAAAAACAAGAAGGTTCCCGAAAGTCCCGACGAAAGTTCACCTGCTATCGCGACAGCGGCTTCCGCTGGTAGCAACGCAAGCGTTGTTCGCGATCCTGTCACTGGTGAGCCGCCGAAGAAGAAACCCAAAACACAAGGCAATCTACTCGGCGTCAGCAAAGAAGAAAAAGAAGCACGCAGCCTCGCTGTCACTGATGGAAGGCGATGTATATTCTTTTGACTTGATCAAAGATGCGTTGGATAGCGTTATTTCTCGCGAAGAGGTCCAAAAGGTCAACGTAGTGCGGCATGGAGGTCAGGGAGGCTGGAAAGTTGCTGATTTATTGTAACTTTTTATGTAAAAATTATATTTTTATTTGCAAGTCACATGATTATTGCCACCTGGCAATCAAACCTGGCGAAATGGCAAAACCATGGCTAAATGGCAATTAAATCAAAAAAATAATTCGCCATATGCATTATCCTCGTCATTGAATCCCAGTGCCTTCCCGCCCCAGCCGAGTCTTTCCAGCACCCGCAGTGTCTCGTCTACTCGGTATGCAATTTCATCACGCTCTCCCATGTATTCACGACGCCCTCGTAGCTTCGACACGGCGGTCTTCCAAGCAGCTTTAGCTACCACCGCTGGTTCGAGCTCAGCCCAGAGCTGGATGACCCAAATAGGGTAGAGGTCACTGGTGTCTGCCTGGCCGCCGATATGAAGGAGCCGGATTGAGTGGAGGTCGGAGTTCTCTCGTGTCCGCTTCACAAGTGCATCCAGCAGATTCAGCGGAGGGAGTGGGATCTCGCCTGCGTCAAAATCGACGATTGTAGGAGGAGTATTCGACAAGTACTGGGATGGGTCGGTCTCGGTAACAGAGCCAAGCTGCTTGGGCAGAGAGGTGTTGATGAGCTGAAGGATGGGAAGAGTTGGTAGAGGGACAAGTTTAGCATGCTGCGCCTCGGGAATAGAACGGGAGCCCTCAAGGGACGCCATTTTCACGTTGTAGGTCGAAGGAAATAAAAGTTACGTGAGCTGCTTCCCTTATTGGGCATGATATGTCATCTCTACATAGTAATACGGCGATCTTGCTGTTCTTGTCGAATTTAGTGTCTTTCTGGGGCTTCCATGATAAGGAAATGTGATTCAAGGCCAAATTGGGCCAAATGAGACAAATTGGCGAAATTTTCGGAGGGGTCACACATTTTTTAACCCATTGACGAGACCTCAACTTCGCTTTTCCGGTCACAGGTCACACCCCGTGGCGAATCGAATAATTTAGTACAGTATGTGACTCTACTACTGACCTGGGACCTACCCAATAACAAATGCTACTTTACTTTGCTTGGGGGGGAAGAGCAAGCTCCCCCTATGACCACACTTGCGCTTTTGCTTGCAAAAGCAAGGGTGACCCTTAACACTTTAGAACTTGGTGCTACTGCAACAGGTTACCCAAGCAACTTACAAGCCATTGCTAGGGAGTTACATTAGCAAATAACTGCAGTGCGGCCAACTGTGCACACACCACTCCTGACTTTTGTCAGGCATCACAGCCACCATAATCACTTTCAACCCCAGTGAGAAGTCAGTGGGCCCAAACGGTATAGAATGAGGTTGTTTTCGAAAATCTGACAGCACATGTCAGATCAATGTAATCATTCGGGATAAATTGTGTGTAGTTTCGATACTCTCATATTTTAGTCTCATTCCATCACCCACAACTCTTCTTTGAAGTGCAATTCTTGTCCGAAATTGCCCCAAGTCCACTACATAACATCACCATTGCGTCAATCTGTGTGTCATCGGAAAGATTCAAAATGGTGCCATGTCGCGCACTGCCCCAAGCACCTTCTTCTCCTCTTCCCACCATGTTTCCTCCACCTCCCTCCCCGGGCCTCCAGGCCTTCCCTCCTATGCTAGTGTTCGTCATGCTGTCCCACTCAAGATGTTGGCCTTCTAGCATGGGAGGGTGAAAGAGTTGATGTATGCTAGACAGTGGCATGGGTAGCTGGCCGGGTATGTTGTTTCTCTTGCTCACTCACAGCCTGCTAATGAGTACCTCCAAGGTGTGTGTGTGTTCCAGAAGACGAGCTGCAGGTGTTTGTTAGGTATGTTTCCTTCACCTCCAATTTTTGCAGCATGCTCACGAAGCCTTGTAGTTAGATACCACGGCATGTTTAGGCCCGACATCGTACTTGATGGCACCACGGCGGCTGCAGCGCTGCATGGTTTAGAGGGCTGTGGGCTGTGGGGAGACAGGGAGGGGAGCTGGTGATTTCACTGTGGGAGGGTTAAATGAATAGCGGGCTACTGGTGTATTATGGTAGTGTTCAATGCATCACACTATATCCCATTTCATCCGGGTATCCGCAAAGCAAGTGCCGTACGGAATGTTATCAAACGGGACAGTTGTATTGTTGTAGACATTCGGTCTCGATTCATGCCTCTAAATCACCGGATTTTAGGACAAAAATTTGATCAAACGCGACAAAGTGAGACATAATGAATATAGCTGTTTTGGTCTCACTCTATACCGTTTGGGCCCACCGACTTCTCACTGGGCAACAGCTATCAAGCCCACCACGCAGACAACCACTGCCAACTGAGGGATACTATAATCAACCGAGGGATATCACAATCAACACTGTGTCATTGGCCAACCTCCCACTCAGCTTACCGCACTGTCTTGCACTTTTGTAAGGACAACCCCGGAGGCTTGAGATCAAGGTCATAGCAAGGGAGGATCCAAAGAGAAAAAACTCTGAGGGTCCACCTGCTAGGTAGCTGCTGCTTGTCCGTAGCTACTGCTGTCGGGCATAGAAGGCTTGCGTGGCTTCACAGGCTAGGTTTCAGGGCAACTGGCGTTGACAGACTAGTGATTGTGCGGGTGAGATGGAGGGCTAGACCAGAATTGGAACCAGAATCAGAGTTGTCTCCGAGGATCTGTCACTTATCACATAGCTTTGGCAGGCAATGCCATTTTGTGTATTTCAGCTTGATCATAATGTACAATTGTTGGGTGTATCCACAACTTATGAATAAGAATTTAGCCCCCCATTTAAGATTAAATGAAATAAACAGCTATATAAACACAAATTTTGTACAGAATATTTAAATCAGTCAAAATCGGATATGATCTGCCACAAATGGATCACTCCATGAACCTAAACTCTGGCTCTGTAAATTTGGATCCTGTTCTGTATCTTCTAGTGGTGAATATTTGTAGTTGGGGATTGTATTGGGTTTATTATATATAAGCTGTAGTTTCAAACCCATAGAAACTGCATCTGAGACAGCTTTTCTGATATTATCATTTGCATATCTCTTAATAGAGCAATCCAGCCTTTCAAGAATTGCAATAGAGCTTAAGGTCATGGTAGGCAGAGTGCGTGAGCAGATCAACTCAATGATAAGATTATCTGGGGTATCTATATCCAGCCACTCTAGATGTGTCAGAGCAGGACATAGAACATCTTGATCCAGGTAACTATTGTCTGCAATAAAATGTTTTGTAAAGCTGGGATCTGTTGGAGGAGAAACACTCCAATAGTGTCCTGGAGCAGTCACCATTACCAATGGGCTCCCTCTCATTTTCAAAAAGGTAAGCAAAGGAAGGGCCCTAAGGATGACCAAAAGATCTTCTGACTTATAATGGTTGGCTAGAATATCCAAACTTTTGATAGAGCTGAACTGTTGTACTACAGCTATTGTGCTGGGAGTGTCTGAGGCAATGCTCAGTGTGTGGAGGCATGGGCAATCAAGGACATTTATCAGTGTTCCTAAGTCACTAGGACATTGTCTGGTATCAAGCCTAAGACTCTTCAGATGTGGGAGGGTGATATGTTTGGCCAGTGTGGCTGGTATCAGAGGACTATTTCCTAGAGTTACTGCAAATTTCTCCAGGGAGGAACAGTATTTCAGAAATGTAAAGGGGAACACAATAGTTTCCTCTGTCCTAAACATCATAGACAATTGCAGTTTGAGGGTAAGAAGGTTGCTCCACTGAATATTGACAGGGAGCAAAGTCAATAGGCCATCATATGAGAAGTGCTGTAGTCCAGGAGTTGCCAAAAATGGGAATAGTAGAGGTTCTAATTGATCTGTATCATGCTGTGGTGAAAGTAAGATCTCAATGCTATTCAATTGAGGAGTGCTCTGTTCACTAAGGAGAGAGAGTGCTGAAATATCATGGGGGAATGATAGAAAAGGTAATTGAATCTTGTGCCAGCGATGAGCAACTGAGATTAATGAAGCCAGAGCTGGAGAACAGGTAGATGCTGAGATATTGATAGCACTAAATGGGTTGCTCTCAAAGTTTTGAGACAGAGTGGTTATAACATCTAAAGGTGTTTCAGCACCATTGTTGAGCCATGTTTCTAGGCATGGTGGTGCAACAGGCAGGCCATATAGTGCAAAGCTCCCATCTGGTAATTGGGGTTTCTGTGTTACTGTCACAATATGGATTGATGCCCAGAGAAGGGGAGTAGCCATGACCACCTGCTTCCAGTACTTGCATACTTGAGCCAAAAGCAGAGGCCCTTCTGTAAGGGCCATGGCAGTGTTCCTATGGCTGGGGAGGGTATATAGAAAGATCATCTGCAGGATGTCATCTGGGGTATGCCGCATTGGAGATAACAAGTCCTGGTGGGCTTTGATGAAGCTTTGCATTGCGTCCCGTTTTGCTGTTGCAGAATCCAGTAGAGTTTGCAGCCTCTTCACTTCTTGATCAAGATCTGTCAGCTGTTTGTGGAAAGGCTGGATGAATGCCCGAATCTGATCACATTCAGGATCAGAGGGCACAGCGTTAGTGTGGAGGATGTTGTTAAAGGGGGAAGCAAGCATGAGGAGAGAGCACCAAGAAGGGGGGTGTGAACGGAGAGAAGTGGTAGTGCCTTATGTATGTGCCACGCAGCCCGATGACCGCCCGAAGATTCCCACACTGATATCAAACTTAGGACTTCTATCCATGTGTTGCCGGGATATCCCCGCGTTCGCAAACGCAGCATGTTTGATCATAGACAGATATCCTACGGCTTGGTAAACTGGTCAAAGAACTGGATCACGATCGTGCTCGCGTCAATCGGCGTCGTCCCCTGGCCCGCCGCAATCTCCGTCAAGTCCAGTGTCGTGCTCGCCCAGCAATGCTTCATATCGTCCACCTTCCAGTGCTGCACCACGCCCGGCACGCCGCCGCACGTCCAACTCCAGTGATGCACCGTCCCGTTGAACAAATCCTCCACTGTCTTGCCCACGTCGGGGGTAGCACACCCGTTGCGTTGTGCCCACCAGCCGAGCCAGTCTGGGATCGCCGGCTCGATTCCGCCCTCGCCAGGCCCGCCCGCATAGTGTACGTCCGGATCTGCGCCGCCGTGGATTTCGAGGACTGGTAGCGGAGAGCGGGCCGGCACGCAGGAGGCCGATGGGGGGAACGGCCCGGTCGCGTCGGTGTAGAGAGAGCCGGAGCCAAGGGCGAACGCCGCGAAGTTGGCGCCGACCGGCGAGCAGGCGATTGTGTTGACGAAGCCACCGCCCGCGGAGATACTGGGCAGAACATGAGTGTTGGCATCTGGGTAATATAATTCGGCATCACCCGGTTGCATAGATGCGGCTGTTGTCGATGCACCACCCCGCGCGGACTTCGTCAAGCAGGTCGGAGACAAAGAGCAGGTCTTGCGGGACTGTGGCTACTGAATAATTAGCGCCGGCCCAGGCGCCCTGGGGCATTCAGCAGGCGTAATGATAAGGGAGACGGGAATAGTATTATAGGCGCACCCCAAGTCCATCTGGATAAAGCATAATCTTCTACTCCGGCGTCAAAATTGTCACTGGAAACATCCCAAACGCGCACATCTGGGGTATAGTCGCTGCTACTCAGCCTTGTGTCCAGCTCGAAGAACAGCCCGATGCCGCTCGACCCGTGGAATCCGAGGACAAGCGGGTACGGCTTGTTCTTGTCGTACGAGGAGGGCAGGTGGATCGAGTAGTGGCGCGTGGTGCCGTTCGAGGTGAGCGAGTGGTATTGCGTCAGGCCGTTGAAGAAGTGTGTCGTCCCGCAGCCGGCAGTGCCCGCAGGCGAGCCGCGAGCGACAGCACTGGCGCCGACAGCGACAGAGGCACAAAGGAGTGAGAGGAGGGGAGCGAGCGGCAGCATGTGAGGCGGAAGCAACGAGAAGGCGGTGAGCGCAGATGCTTATATGTCGAGGAATATCAGGCCATGTGCTTCTTTGACAAGGCCGCGGCGCGATCTTCCAGATGTCCGTCGCAACGACGATCGCAGCATGGCCCACCAACGAATTCTCGGGCGGGGATCTGAACGACATGTCCGCCACCGTGACGTGTCTTCGTCAATCCACAGAAGGTCGCACGGATTCGCACCATAGACATCCATCATCATAAGTATGGTGAGCAAAGCGGATTCCTGACTGAACGACGCACCTGTGCCGCAGCTATGATAATGTGTCTTCACACCCGACGCGCGGCGCACACGAAAGCGTTTGGACAGATGGGTGTTGGGACGAAGAAGCGATTGACGTGGCACGTGCTGACCCGCGTGGTCCGTGCGCGCCACGTCAATGACGCAGATCTGTCACAAGCAGGCGCGTGGCCACGTGATGTTGACAAAATGATCGATGACGATAACGATCGATCGCAAAGCTTGTCTTGCTCCACCATGCACGACTCGCTCCGGCTTTCGAAGATGCACCGGCTGCCTCTCCGGCTGAAGGTCTGTAGTTCTCAATGACTTTGCGCCACTGACTGTTGCCTCCGCCCGCAGATTGCGGCGGAAAAAGCGCTCAGTCGCGGGCCTGGAATGATGGCTGGGCTGGACGTGCTCGCCGCAACAGACACGAAGGAGCACGGCGCGCTTCTCCTACCAGTCTTCTACGCACTCCTTGATACCGCTATTCTCCCTGAACTCCGAGCTACCGGTTTTGTGGAAGGCAATCGGGACGCCACCCAGACCTATGCGACATGTGCGTTGCGGGGCATCGACGGAATGCAGCGCGTCACACATGCGATCACGGCAACCGCGCTCCCCGCTATATGGCGCCGCTGCTGGGCGTGGGTCGACTTCCTGACCGAGTATACACCCGTTCTCTCCCTCCCGTGGTCGCGCACGGACACTGCGACCCGGCCGGGCGCACTGCCGGCGCTCTGGCTGCGCATCTTCACACATTTCCTGGACCATTGCGTTGCGCTGAAAAGCGCTGTCTTTGGAGAGACGCGGGGATTCCGCGTCATGGTCGGGGAGGCTTGGGCGCATTTCGTGCATGCGGACCCCGACAATGCGGCAGGCCTGCGGAATGTCGCGGTGACGCTGACGCTCATCATGAACTCTCCGGACGCAGACGTCGTCAAGGACGTTGCAGAGGGCGCCGGAGGGAAGCGGGCGCTGGCCACGCTCATTGTCCATGACCTGTACAACGAATGGCCAGACGCCAAGCCGGCAACGTCCGCAAGTTTCCGCCGCGCCGCCAGCCTCTTTGCCTTCATGCGACTCGCGCTCGATCACGGTCTGACCGCGGCACTCCAAGAAGAAGAAATTGTCGCCGCGCTGACCACCGCCTGCACCTCTATGAGTGTAGCGACACCTGGGGACGGAATGCGCGCCGAGCTCATGTACGATGCGCTATCGCTCCTTGTCCGGGTGCTCGATGGGCCGTGGCCGCAGGTCCGCGCGGCGGAGGCTATCGAGGAAGGGCTCTTCGCTGTCCTGCATACGATGACCCGCTGGGCGTCGCCCGCGAACACGACGCTGATGCTTAAACTGTTCCGCGATACGCTCCCCCCGCTGCTACCGCTCCGCCCCGTGGCTGCAGTGCTCCAGGAGGCCCTCCTCGAGGTGCGCGATCTGGACTCGGCGTTCTGCATCCGCTCGCCTGAACTCTTCCGCGCGTGGGAACGGCTGAGTGAGCAGGCGGTCACGCGCGTCGTGCTGTTCAATGCTTACAAGGATAGAGGCTCCCAAACCGCACTTGTAGCGTGCTCCAATCTCGAGGTACGCGGCTGCCAGTGTGTAAAGCTCTCTGGTGATATTCTACAGTGCTGTAACATTTGGGAGCGGCACGCGATGAAGCAGTGTGCGGGGTGTCGTCGCCGACTATACTGCTCCAGATTGTGTCAGCGACAGGACTGGCGCTACGGAAAACACCGTCGATACCCGATCGTACGTGCCACAGATTTCAAATACCCACTAGTATTTATAACCGCCGCAGCACGGGACATCCTAGCTCACCACGCCGACCGAGAGTTTGCAATTGCCGTCCTGAATCACGAGTACCGAGTGCAGCGGTCCTCTCTTGCAACCCACATCCTTCGCTGGCTCCTCACGAACCGCAACCCGAACAGTGAGCTGGTGGTTCGGTGGGCGTACCGCTACGAGAACTTCCAGGCGAACAACGACCGCTTCCTCGTGGCGAATACGACTGTGATCGCCCTCCAGATGACACCCTACGCGGGGTTCTACGGCTCGCCCGGCAGCGGGACGCCGATGCGTCGCGCATTTGATGCTGGCCGCGTTATGCTGCATGTACTCGACCTGAACATTCCGACTGCCGCACACGACACGCGCTCGTATGCGCTGCTGCTTCACTCGGCCACCGGCACACTGTTTGCTGGACTACGCCGGCTGGGCGCGGACATCATGGCCGCCGGCGGCTCGGCAGCGGACGTGGAGAGTTATGCGCCGCAGATTGCCGCGCTTGTCGAGCAGGACGCGCTGGTCGCGCATTCTGGTGGGTCGTCTGTATGGCGTGGATGTTTAGCTGAAGCCTGATCATTGACTAGCTGTGTGGGATTTGCAACCAGTCAGCGCCGCGCACACGCTGATGCACACTCTCGGCATCATTATATAGCATGATTGGCAATGGACAGAAACCGGGGAGAGAATTGAGTTGCAACAGATATTAGGACCTAGGAATCCAGACGGTACTATCAAAAGATTGACCACAGAGGAAAATAGGTAGAACTATCCAATCTTAAGAAGACAGAGTATTTATACTGATACTCAGTATCCTAGTAGATTTCTATATTTTGAATGGGCAGGTGGGCTGCCGAATTTTTTTTGAAATGCCAGGAAAATATCCTAGCATATCAGATACAAATATTCTCTAATTTGATTTAAGTTAGATACAAATATTCTCTAATTTGATTTAAGTTGTTGTCTCTAAGTTTGAAATTATCTTTAGTTCTCTTTTAATGAATTTTTTTCCCCGCCAATACAGGTTGTTTTTGTATAAGAAATGTTTGTAAGAAAACAAGAGATTTTATGATTAGTGTACCAAAAAGGGAAATTGGAAGGGGTTTTTGTAGATCAAAAGCACAACAAAAATGATTTGTTCATTGATAAAAATCAAATGTTTCCTTGGGAATTTTTTGACCAAAGAATTCCTATAGTTTCTGCCAGAGTAAAACTTTGGAATACAGCGGTTCCGGAAATTCTTGCCGTTGATCAAATGTGACGCAAGAAAATAAAATAATTCAGAAAAACCTTATAAATGCAAACAATTGTCTGCACATCTGTAGTAGCCATGAAGAAGGACAGAAAATGTGGCAAGACCCCCATAGAACCTTCCTTGGCTTACCTTAAGTCGCTATGCCCGGCATTGTCCATTTTGGCTGAAGGTCAACCACTCTCCCAGTCCTCCCTCCGAATGCCTCTTCTACCTGACTTCACTTGCCAGAATCAATGAGGCATGCATGATAGAGTATATGCTACCCAGATAACATCTTAGAGGGTAGGTAATCCTGTTTGAGGTATCTATTACCTGAGGGTGTCCGGAGCAGGCGGCGCAAGTTGGTGGTGGATGGCAATATAGACTAGTCCGACACAACAAACCATTTCCCAATAGATTGAGAGGCTTAACACAGGCTTGTCGAGAAGATTTCGCCCTCAGAGGTGATCTCCTGCGTGGCTGACCCAACCGTTACCCACATTTGTGTTTTGCCATATCTGTGCATATTGGCGGCTTTACTTACGTTTGTCAGGGGAACCTCCCTTTCGGCCCGGAGACGCGCCCGATTCCGGTCCGGCCCTCCATCTCGCCCGCACAATCACCGATCCGTCAACGCCCTCCCGACGGTCGCTCTGGGACCTCGCCTGCGATGCCGCCCAAGCCTTCTGTGCCCGACAGCGGCAGTTACGGACAAGCAGTATATAGTCAGCTCCCTAGCAGGCGGACCCTTAGAGTTTCTTCTCTCTGGATCCTCCCCTGCTAGGTCAGCTTCACTTGTATTCGCTTACCAATGTTCACGCTTTGGATCCTCCCCTGCTAGGACCTTGATCTCAGGCCTCCGGGGTTGCCCTTTACAACGTGCTGCAAGTACTCAGAATGTACCAGGAGGCAAATTAAGTTCTCCGTAGCCTCTCATTGCACCAGTGAATGATTGTTTGTATTTATGAGGTTTTTTTGAATTATTTTATTTTCTTGTGTCACATTTGATCAACAACAAGAATTTCCAGAACCGCTGTATAGGAATTTTTACACAAACTTATTCCAAAAGTGTCAGGGAGACTGGATGTTTCATCCTCAACACTCATGACACCTTAGTTTGAGTACGACACATACTTGTTTGGGGAGTAGATTGACATGAAATGATGTTCAAGTGCAACACTTGAGACAGCTGACATCAGGAAAAAGCAAAACCCACCGTAGCTAAAGGGGGAAGTTCTGTAGCACAATGTAGTCAATGTAGTATCTCAGTTAAATTTGTAGCACAAATGTAGCACTTTGTATATAGCTTGACATATCCTGTAGCACTATGTAGCTGCAATATTGTACTATAAAGTACCGCCACCTAGCTACATTTGGGGGGACCTGTCAGGGGAACCTCCCTTTCGGCCCGGAGACGTGCCCGATTCCGGTCCGACTCCGGTTCCGACTCCGGTCCGGCCCTCCATCTCGCCCGCACAATCACCGATCCATCAACGCCCTCCCGACGGTCGCCCTGGGACCTCGCCTGCGAGCCGCCGCCCAAGCCTTCTGTGCCCAACAGCGGCAGCTATGGACAAGCAGTATATAGTCAGCTACCTAGCAGGCGGACCCTTAGAGTTTCTTCTCTTTGGATCCTCCCCTGCTAGGTCAGCTTCATTTGTATTCGCTTACCAATGTTCACGCCTTTGGATCCTCCCCTGCTAGGACCTTGATCTCAGGCCTCCGGGGTTGCCCTTACAGCAGAAGAAACTCTCTACGGGATCAACCGGACAAGATTGCCAGGTTCGGCGCTGACTCAGGCTCGGAGTACGAGTCCGTTCCGCCCTCGTCACCGCCCCTGCCACTTGTCCCCTCCTCCTCTACTCCTGTGGTCCCCGCACCCGTCATGCCGTCCGGAGTCACTCCTACCGCAGACGCCCGGCTGGACTCACTCGAGGCGAAAATCGATAGCCTAACTGAGGCCCTTGCTTTACTCACCAACCAGGCTTCCGCTGCCGCTGCCGCCGCTAATAATGCTGGCGGACCCCAAACACCATCGCCGGAGACGTCGATTCCGACTCCGACTCCGGTCCAGGGCGACTCGAAGCCCTTTTTGGCGACATCAACCTCGCCTCAAAATTGGTCTTGCGACCAAACCCCCCGTTCACCTTCAACGGCGACCGGAAACGCGGCCCGCCGCGTTCCTCTACGCGGTCCGCACCTACGCCCGCCTTGCCCCTGAGGCCTTCGTGGTCAACGGAGAGGCGAGCGAGGAAAAGGCTGTCCGCTATGCCATGTCGTTTATGGCAGAAGGACCCGCTCAGCAATGGGCGGAGCGCCACGGAAGCAAAGCCCCGTTTCCATTTCCGTCCTGGGGCTCGTTCGTTTCCGAGTTTCGACTCCGGTTCGTCGAGGAGAATGAGCAAGATCACGCTCTCTCCAAGCTGGAGACTTCCGCCTACCACATGGGTACAAAGGATGTCTACCAGTACACCGACGACCGAGGACCTGATGGACCTCGCCGGATTGAAGACGCGCTGGTCACGGTGACCAAGTTCCGCCACGGACTTGACCCCCTGATCAATAACGGAATCACGTCCTCGAACGACCCCCCGGACCTCCGGGATTACCTTAGCTGGCGCACCCGGGCCTTCCGTCAATACGAGGCCCTGGTCCGGGCCAAGCTGATCAAGTCAGCCGCCCCCAAGACGCCTGGCGGTTTGATTCGGACTCCGTTTCCGGTCAACCGCATCCCGGCTCCGGCCCCTTTCCGCCCGGTGGCTCCAGTCGTGCCACCCGCGGCCCGCGCCCCTGCTCCGGCGCCTCCAGCTCCCGTCCCTATGGAGTTGGATCGCACCAGGGCTCGGGGTGCCCCTCGTCGCACCTGCTTCAGGTGCGGCGACCCAAACCATCTCGCCCGGGATTGCCCCCTCCCCGCCGATGTCCGCTCGATGGACATCCTCGACGAGGTGATCCAACAACTCGGTGACGAGATGTTAGCGGAGTTGATCGCCCGCTACACGGACACAGCTGCCCTGCCGGAGACGGCAGCGGAGTCGATGGCCGGAGAGGATTTTGTCCCCGCGACGAGTGACTGGTGTGCCCTCGTTCGCGTCCATAAATCGTTTTGCCTCTTTGTATGATGAATGCAGTTCCTTGCCCTACAATGAGCCCGAAACGAAAGACACACCCTCTCCTGTCCCCGCCTCGACTCCGTCTCCGACTCCGCCCGCGACTCCGGTCATCGTCCTCCGCCGCCTCACTGCCTGGGAAAAGAAACTGCCCAAGCAGTACACCGTTGCCGCTGCCCCTGGGGCGAACTCCCTCCACCTCCCGTTAGAGCTCGAGTCCACCACCAGGCGCTGAAGCTCTCACTCTCTGGGCTTGTCGACTGTGGTGCCACCTCCGACTTCATTGACACGAACTATGTTGCTCGGAATGGCATTCCGGTCCGCACCCTCAATCAGCCGATTCCGGTTTTCAATGTCGATGGCACCCCCAATGACGCTGGCTCCATCAAACAGATCGCGGACTTGGTCCTGCGCTACAAGGGCCATGCCGAACGAGTTCAGCTGGCCGTCACCCATCTTGGCAAGCAAGACCTCATCCTGGGGTATTCCTGGTTGCGGAAACATAACCCAGAGATCAATTGGGAAACCAAGGAGGTCAAGATGACACGGTGCCCCCCGCAATTGCTCGACCTGCTGTGAGGAAGAGCGGGTCGAACGGACCGAGTTGCGGCGACTCCGGTCGCTTCAGAAGCGTCTCCGCTCCGGCCCGTTCCCCTCGGTCTGCGCCATGGACCTTTCTGGGTCTGATGACGGAGACGATTCCGTCTCCGGTGACGACTCCGGCCTGCCTGATCTGACGCCGGACTCCGACGACGACGATGACGATGGTCAGCTTGAAGATGGTGACCGCATCTTCTACACCTCGTTCCGCCCCTCGGAGGAGATACGCGCTGGCAGTACTGTCTCGCAACGCCTGGCCGAAGCCTTCGCCAGGAACTCCACCCCTCCGCCCTCCGAGATCCCGGACTGGGCTAAGGAGTTCCAGGACGTCTTCAACAAGGAGTCCTTCGACACGCTACCGGAGCGGAGAGCCTGGGACCACGCCATTGAACTCGTCCCCGACGCTAAGCCCACCAACTGCAAGGTGTACCCCATCTCGCCCCTCGAGCAACGCGAGCCTCGACGCGTTCATCGAGGAAGGGCTTTCGACGGGCCGGATTCGCCCCTCCAAGTCTCCGATGGCGTCTCCGGTCTTCTTTGTCAAGAAGAAGGACGGCGGACTCCGCTTCGTCCAGGACTACCGTGCTCTCAACGCGATGACTGTCAAAAACCGGTACCCCCTTCCGCTGATCAACGACCTCATCAACCAGCTCAAAGGAGCTCGTTACTTCACCAAACTTCGACATCCGTTGGGGCTTCAACAACGTCCGG